CAATCTAACTTGTATTAGAAAAAATGAAAAAAAGGGGAAAAGAAAAAAAGGTAGGTATTATTGTATGTGATTATTATTAATTAGTAGAATCTATGAAAGTCTCATGAGTCATAAGTAGTTTTTTGTTTATTACTAATTGTATTCCTTGATGTTACTTTTACCATATTTGGTAGCTTTTGTTATTACCTCAGCTGCTTCTTTTTTTCAACATAAAAAATTGAATCTCAAAATATAAGTGGGGCCATAATCTTTTGAGAATGCAACATGGAAACCACAGAAGAATCCAATGTCCATTGTTAGGCCAACGAAATAGAAACAAGACCTAACTTTGTATGATGGTGAGAGGTAAAATTACAAATATATCTAGGGGGTGGATTAATAATGTTTTGATTTTGTATGATTGAGTTGCGATTTTTTTTTCGATACTTTATATTTGAGCCCAATTCTTTCTGATTAAATTATTTTTTTTAGTATATATAATTATTCTGAAACAATTAAGAGATTTTTTAGAGACATAACATACTTGATTATGGGGTTAATTCAATATGTTCTTCTTCCACAAAGATGATCTTTTCAAAGAATTCACTCTCTTTTCCTTTTTATAGTTGTTCCAAGTGTGAAATTGGTAAATGAAAAAAAAAAGATGCAAACTTGAGCCTTCATTTTCCTTTAATTTTATAATTTGAATTCACTTAATGTTGAAATTCGTAAACGTGACAAATATTTTCATACAAACTTAAAAACTTTACTATCCAAGGCATCTCCATTTCGAAAAAATGATAATATCGTGTTTAAATGATATGATACAAGAAACCTATGGTGAGAAAATATGTCAAATATCTCCATCAACATCTCAATGGTTATTTTTTGGGGTAATAATAATAGGGCACTTGCAACTTACCTTCTTAAAAACATGACTCTAACGCTTGAGACATTCACAAGAATGAAAGGTTCCAAAAAAGTGTGAAGCTGGCCTGGTTCTTTAATTAATAATATTCATCATCGATCAACCTTGAATATAGTTATATATACTATATATATATATGTATCCTTGTTTGTTTCTGATTGTCGATTTCTGCATTTAAAACATTCCTTTTCAAATATTTGTTCTCATTCTGACTCTTGCAGAGGTGGGGGTCAAAATGTTTTTTTATTAACACATATCAAAATATAGACAACAACAACTGTTATTTATTTATTAAAAAAATTTACAAAATAAAGTTTGAGGAAGGTAGACAAAGTTTATATCTAATGTATCTGATAAGGAGCTATTTCAGTGAATTTATACTTCCCTCAGATAACAACAATTGTTAAATATTTATTAAAAAATTTACAAAATAAGGTTTGAGGAAGGTAGACAAAGTCTATATCTAATAAGGAGATTTTTCAAGTTTCGTAAATTCATGTTTTTTTCTAAATCATATATAGTATTGTTATATTTTCTAAAAAAAAATCATTAAATATAGATGTTTAAACCTACCTCAAAGAATCATATAATGTAGTGATGATTATTTGTACTTTAATCTTTCAATTTTCCCAAGTCTTTCGCATTGAAATTTCAAAAAAAATAAATTGCGCTATGATTTATTTATATATTTAAACCAGATATGTAATATCTTTTTAGTTTTTATTTATACCTTAATCTTTCAATTTTCCCAAGTCTGTCACATTGAAATTTCAAAACATAAAAAAAAACGCTATGATTTGTTTATATATTTAAACTAAATATGCAAGTTAAAACTAATAGTACTAGCTGATATAGTATATAGTCAATAGGTTTAATCGTGTACGTATATATATAAGAATTTTTTTTTGACTTACAATTTTGAAAGTTTGATGGGTATAGTGATAAGAAACTAAAGGTAAAACAACTTAACTTTATATCTTAGATCCACATTTTTGTAATATGTTACTCATCCTCTCAAAGTCCTGAATATGCCTCAGAGGATATAGAGTACGTAAATCTTACATTTACCTTGTGTTGGTAGCGAAACTGTTTTCAAAATAATAATGAAAAAAAATAACAGTGAACAAACATGAAACCTAATAGAAAATCAGTATAAATCATACGAGCAAGAAACAATAACATTAGAAAAATTGCATGATCACCTAAACATAATAAACAACGGGTAATATCACATAACAAAAGCAAGAAACAATATGAATAAGACATGCTATCACAACTCCAACCCTGTCGAAGAGCAAGACAACACTCAACTACCTACTAACTTTTATCCTAAGTCACGACCTCCCATACCTTCTTATGTAAGATCATATCTTCGGTAAGTTAAGTTACAACATATTCTAAAATTGAATCACCTAAAATTTTTTAAAAGTAATAAGCTAAAGTTATGACACATTTTAAAGTCGAATCACATAAAATAAATAGACACACATAAAAAAATAAAGGAAATTAGCACACACAGAGAAATAATAATAATAATAATAATAATAATTATTATTATTATTATTAGTATTAAAATTTGATCTATTTAAATAATGTAATTTTTTTCATAGCATAAGGTGCCTCTACCACAAATATTCAATCAGTATGAGGAAAAATATTTTCTCTTGAAAATAATTTCATAAAAATAAAAGAAATGACTTCCCTATGAAAATTATTTTCACATTAATTATGTCCTCTTCTCCATCCCGCCCTTCATCTTTAATTCTATTCCAGTAGCCTCAATCTTCACAATTTTTATCTCGTACCTTTTTATTTCTCACCTCATCTTTTATAATGTTGTCTAGATTACATTAAATACAGAAAAAAAAAACAGTTTTCTTCCTACCAAACAAGTGAACAAGTGCTACATTGAAGAACAAATAAAGTTTAAACTACTTGGTCAAGTTTCGATCCCTTTTTTTTTTTTTTTTTAACTCTTTCATTAGAAAATGAATTGTTATTTGGAACGTTCGATACCTTTTACGCCTAATGCCCTAGTATATTTTAATAGTATTATGCCTTAAAAACACTGTAGCATTTATTTATCTGAATAACCGATCGTTATATTTCATATTTCATAAAAGTATTGCTTAAACTGTAATTATTTTCTTTTTAAAATGTACTAAAAAGAAATGTATGATACATAAATTAATTAAGATTAGAAAGATATGAAAGTAATTTAAATTGGATAAAAATCTATCTGACACAATACCTAAACCATAAAATCTAATTTTATATGCTAAACCTTATTAAAAATGAGAACCTTATTTGGTCAAGTCCTAACTACATATGAAATATTTTTGAGACATGTGCTATCCATTGTTTGCACTTTCCGTTATATTTTACTTTGACTGAGTCGATTATCACACTTAATTTTTATATTTCATTATTAATAAATCTCTTTTCTTATCATTATCGATCTAAAAATTGCTAAGTTAAATATTTGACTAACACATACCTAATGAATATAAGTTTAATAGATATACTAGTAAGGAGGTAAAGATCGCTTGAATCCATTATCGGCAGGCTAAAAAAACAGGCTGAAAAAATGACAATTAAAAATTCATTGAAATTCTCACTTTTTATACTTTTTAAAATTTGAGTTTTGGAATAAATAATAACTATTCCACTCACTTTGTTGCTATACATAATATACAAAATTACTTACCTAATTAACAATTAATATCAAAATATAGTAGAAATACATTATTCGTAGTGGTTTAATAAAGTCTTTCTTTATAAGTATTAAAAAACAATGGGTGCTAACTTAATTTAAATGAAATTCATTAGGACTAGAAGTTGTACCTAACTACTTCTAATTTGTCATTAGATAACCATACTTTTTTTTTCAAGAATAAGAAAAAGGAAGAGTAAATATATCGAAAGGTCATCTAACTTTGAGGATTCATCTTATAAAGTCATTCAACTTTGTTTTGTATCTATAAAATCACTTAACTTTGAGTTTTCTTTTTATAAAATCACTCAACTTTGAGTTTCTTTTTATAAAATCACTCAATTAAATTCATTATAAGAAAATTATTTAACATGACATATAAAACATTTTTTGCTGGAGTTTTTTATCATACTAACGTGAAAAGAGTTACAATTTATATTATTTTTTAATATATAAGTTTGAAGTTGTGAAGTTCATATAATTTAATTTAACATAAGAAGATAATTAAATTAACTCTCGAGTTCGAATTAGAAAATTAATTTGAAATGAAAATTGAAAGGAGTATAACCACACAAATGTCCACTACACGTTTTAAATTATCAATTTAAAAAATGTGCTTTTTGTTCTTAAATTTTAAGCTTATGTTATATAAATTGAGACTCCATAGGTATTTCACCTTCTCTATCTCAATTTTTATGACTCAATTTTTTTTCTAATCAATATAAAAAGACATATTTTTATATTTAATAATAATTTAATTATAAAAGATTAATATTATTTTTAATGAAATGATTTATAAATATTACAAATAATTATAACTTATCTTAAATCATAACATAACTTTTTTTTTAAATTGTCATGTCAAGTCAAATTAATTTATATAAATTGAGACGGAAGATATTAAGTAATTAAGGAGTGGGATATTGAGGTGGAAAACAACTTATATTACTACTAACCCACTATTGCAAGCGTAGCACATATATTTTTATGGAATAGTGACTTATAAGGTCAATATAAAAGAAAACACACGATTCTTCTAAGTACAAACTATGGGCCCACGCGTTTTCTAATGGGCCCATACCACGAAACAACCTTTCCTCCGCCTCCATCGCCGGAGCCCAATTGTTTTATCCAATTTTTTTCCATTTTACTGTCATTTTTTTTCTTTCTTTTATTCTCTGTGTAACAGTATAGTCTTTTTCACCATTAATCTCAATAACAAACAGTAGCAGAATCGCTGTATATCCACACAATCTCTCACTCCATGCCAAATTTTATTTTGGTATATCACTAAAAGTTTTTCATTTCTTGTTACTATATAATCATACGTATCAATCACTCTTTTTTATCTTCCTTTATATAAAGAGGAGTTATCCTGAACTTAGGGCTTAGGGGTTGAGTTCTTAGCTGTTGAAGAATATTATTATTCTTTTATCTTCTTCGATCGGTTGATGCATGTTGTTTTTTTTGTTTTGAACCCTTCCAGTATTTTCATGATTATCTTCTCATTTTTCGATTCCACCGCTATCTTAACATCACTTTTTTGGATTTTTTATTTATTTCAATCTATCGATTCCGCCACTATCATAACATCACCTATTTGGATTTTTTATTTCAATCTAAAAAATGTCGATGAAACGGCAATCGCAAGACGATTCCAAGTCTAGACTCGATGCAGGTTCTTCTGAGGATAAACGTCGCCGGAGTTTGCCTTCTTTCAGCAGGTTAATATTTGTTATTTTAAGTTTTTCATCAGGAATATTCTAAAATGGGTAATGGTTTTTTTTTTTTTGGGTCCTTTAGTGGGAGAAGAATTTTGTTGTCTGGTTGTTAGTTTTAGTTTTACAAAGTGGCGTTACTATTAATGCTGTGGAGGTTTGAATTTGTGAGATGTGATGTGAGTCATGAAGAAGAAAAAATGGATGTAAGGTTGCTTTCTCTTTGGGATTCAGTACATCAATGGTGCAAGTTTTAGTAAACTAGACTTGCTGATAATTTAATACCGAATAAATGCGTCGTCCAGTACTCATCTATGTATGCATTTAATAAAGGGGACCAAATAGGAAGACATTATCTGTTCTCTTCTGCTTCAATTTTTTATTGCTGACTGTACTTTTTGTTATTATTTCATGTAGTGTGATTACAGAAGTAATGAATATGAGTAAAGTGCAACATTTTATGGAGCCAGTTTTGGAGCCACTTATTCGTAAAGTGGTAAGGCTATGCTCATTTCCCTTGAGTGTGATTTTACTAATTTTTGTATGAACTTCTATTGTTAGATTCAAAAATTGTCATATAGTAATATTTAAGTTTGGTCTTACAGCTTTTCCCAAAATAAAGTGTGTTTGAATTTTGAAAAGAACAAGGAGCAAGTGCTTTTTCATAAAATAATTGGGAATCCAATGAGTTGCTGATAAAGATAGCACATTTTGTTACCTTTTAAATTGGTGATGTTCACTTTCCACTTTCCCTGGTCTTGATTCCTACTTATATCGAAAAGCGGTTAGTACCATTAGCAAGAATTCAGTGGATAGTTTCTATGACGACAATTCCTCGTTTTCGTACTTTGTTGTTATCCTTGTTCTAATTTCTTGCCAATATTTATTACCAAGGCTCATCAAATTTAGGCTGTTATATGGTGCATATGTTTAATAATATTTTATTTTTATTTTTAAAAAAAAGTTGAGTTAAAAAGCTAGAGACCTTATGAAAATTTCTGGAACTTAAAGGATACATAAAAACTTTTTAGTAAAATTATCACTTAGTTTGGCAGTGTCTAGATGCAAAATATGATAAGCATGTTGCCAAAAAGGGAGTTTTGAGGAAAATTTTAGTGATTGAAAGAAATTATGCTAATGATTTCAGCTTTTGTATTATGAATACATCATATCCTAATGCTTACCTAATATACTTAACAACACTTTCTTGATCTCAAAAGAAATGTGCAGGTCGCTAATTTAGTTCCAAGATAATGGTACCCTCTACAAACTGAAAGTTTCATTCTATATTTTATCATCTAGAAAGTGACATAGGACCCCCTCACCACTTTAAAGAAAATGTAACAGAAAGTCAGTTTTATAAGAAATATATAATCTTTCATTACGATCAAGCAGGGAATCTTATTGGGATGAAGTGAGAACTATTAATTCTTTCTTTATTTTAGGATCTATATTGTCTTTTTCTGGTTTTCCTTAAATATTTTGATTAATTAAGCTAATCGTGAGATGAACACATTTTTAACTTGAACTTACAGGTAAAAGAGGAAGTTGAATTGGCTCTCAGGAAGTACATGACCACCATTAAGCGGTAGGCAATTGGACTCCATCATTCAAATGCTACATCGGCTTCATAGTTTCTTGTTATGACTTAGTCTTACAGTTTTTCGTATTTGCACCTTTTTAGGAATTGTGGGAAAGATGTATTTGCTTGTGAACTTCGAAGCCTGAAACTGAAGTTTTTAGATCTCATCTCTCCCCCAGTATTTACTGGAACTCGCATAGAAGGAGAGGAATCTAGTTTGAAAGTAGCCCTGGTTGATGTTCTTACTGGGGAAGTTGTCTGTAGTGGTCCTGAATCCTGTGCAAAAGTTGAAATAGTAGTACTCGAAGGAGATTTTGACGGTGATGATGGGGACAATTGGACTGCAGATGAATTTAAGAACAACATTGTGAGAGAAAGGGAAGGAAAGAAACCTCTCCTTACTGGGGATGCATTTTTGTATCTTAAGGAGGGCATTGGCTGGGTGAGTGATATTTCATTTACTGATAACTCAAGCTGGACAAGAAGTCGTAAATTCAGGCTGGGTGCTAGGCTTGTTGATAGCTTTGAAGGGATCAGTGTACGAGAGGCGAAGACAGAATCCTTCATTGTCAGGGATCACCGAGGAGAGTGTGAGTTCCTATTGATCTCTTTTCTTTCTACAATGCTATTAGTTTTATTAAATGATAGGTTTTTCTTTCCAGAAGCTGTGAACTCTTATCATTATATTCCATTACAGACACTACTTGACTTGAAAGGTATTAGACAATGTCTATTTTTATTTATCGATCTGTAGTGTCTTATCTTTAGGATTTATCATTTGAGATTCCAATTATGATTTTGAATCTCAAAGCAATTGATTTTCTGAATAATCAAGTCTACTGGTGTGGAACTGATTGCTCAATATTTTATAATCATGTGTTGGATTTTGAGCAGTTTGCTGAAAAATTGATTTTAACTGATGGACGATAGCAATAACTATATTCTATCACCATAACATAAGTTAATAGTAAGTTGTCACTAGAATATGACTTTCAATTTGGGGGTATTATCTTGGCACCAAACATGGTTGAAAGTGATTGTTCACATTCGAAAAATCTGAATAAAAGCAAAACTGTGTAGTGTAATATGTAAAACTTCCCATCATTGTTTAGGATTGAAATTGTTTTGAATGCCTGAAGCAAAGAGTGTGGTAGGGATATTTATAGAAAGTGTGTTTAATTTCTTGGGTTTCCTAAAATAAAAAATGGGTCATATAAAATTTGACAGGGGGAGTAGATGATATCGTGTTATGTGTATGATTTAATACAAAGTAACATACTTACAGAGAATAACATATACTCCCTCCGTTGCACAAAGAATGACCTCCTTTCCATTTTAGTCAGTTTCAAAAAAATGACCTCTTTCCTTTTTTGGTAACATTTTACTTTTTGCTTTCCACGTGGCATGTTTAAGACCACAAGATTAAGGAGAATTTTGTACATTTAACATAACTTTAATTTAGGACCACAAGATTCAAAAGTCTTCTTTAATTTCTTAAACTTCGTGCCAAGTCAAACCAGACCAATCTTTTTGAAACGGAGGGAGTATAATATATTGGCAGATAATGCTGAAATATTGACACAGGGAAAAAGCACTATGTTTATATGTGTGAAAAAGAAGTAAAATAGTAGTAAGTTCTTTTAGGCTACTATTTAATTTACAAGGTATGGTAATATTGATGTTATTTCTTATTTGTCCGAGTTCCTGAGTTGTGTTTCTTTTATGCTTCATCTTGAGGTTTGGTACCTTAAATGAACTGCTCAGTGTTACCATCAATGTCTCATTCTTACCATTGTTTGACATCAACCATCTTTGTTTTGGCCTATTTAAATATTTACTGCATCTGGTCAAAATCCTTATTCAGTTAATTATACTGACCGTTATTAAAGTTTGTCTCGGGAAATTGTTAGATTTACGTGTGAGACAGAAGTGATACTGAGACCTGAGTTGCTCAAGTACTAGATTTTGATCTTTTTCCTCATTCAATTCAGCTAAAATAAGTGATTGTAAAGACAGAAAGGTAAGTCAAAGACAAAAGCGGAGGTGATCTCTTGTGAGCATTTTACTTTGCCTTATTTTTAAACAACAGCCATTCCAGAGTAAGAAAGTTGATATTTTAATACACCGGTTGACGGTAGTGTAAGCGACTACTGTAGGTATGAGGATATAAACTTTCTACTGAAAGAATCAAGGAGTAGGACGATAATAGTTCTTGACTTCTAAAGCCTTAGGTAGAATGAAAAAGGGAAAATGACATAAGAAGACACTGAAAGTATTAACGGTTCCATCATAAAGGAGAATAAAGTCTCTTTCACCTTTGTATGATTTAAGCATCTTATTGAAATTTTTATTTGGAGGTGGACTTATTGTAGAACTTTTAATCAAACTGTATAATGAATTTGTAACATATTTGGAAACAAAAACCAAATTAGAACTCATTTCACTGAACTTAATGCTTTGGTCGGTTTCTTGAGGATTAACTTGATAATGAGCTGTGCATAACTTGGGTGTCAGAGCTAATGGTAGTTGGTTCTGCAAAAACACAATGAATGAGATTGTGGTTAGAAGTCTTCGAATAATTCTCAAGTCTAATATTTGACAGAACGTTATTTAACTCATTGCTTTATATGCAGTGTACAAGAAGCACCATCCCCCTTCTCTTTCAGATGAGGTATGGAGGCTGGAAAAGATTGGCAAAGATGGAGCTTTTCACCGACGTTTGAGCAAGGAAAGAGTCAATACCGTGAAAGATTTTCTGACTCTACTCTATCTAGATCCTACAAGGCTTCGGAATGTGAGTGCACTGCATTTGTCTTACATATATAAATGGACTTAATGGACATGTTGCTTAAAATGATAAAGTTATTTCTTCCTTGTTGAATAGTAGCAGAGATGACTGTGATAATAATTGGCATATTTCCAAATGTTTGTGATTCTTTATCAGCCTGGTTAATTCATTCACTGGAATCTTTGATGCTAGTTGACACCTTTGTTTTTCTGTGTCTATGCTTGCTAAAAATTTCCTTCCTTTGATCAACTTGGTGGATTAGCAACTTCTTTGAGCATCCTCTGTATTCCCTTAGGAGCTTTATAACAGAATTTGGCTTGGGTTGGTTACTGTGTCGACATCATGATTCAGAAATTTGATCAATCTAGATAAAATATTAAGGTCTCTAGTGTTTTTGATAAGAATGACAAATCTTTTATTTCCTTTTCCTGGGAAATCTTGCAGGTTCTTGGGACAGGTATGTCCACCAAAATGTGGGAAGTCACGGTTGAACATGCTCGAACTTGCTTGCTTGACAAGAAAGTGTACTTATACTACACATCTGTATCTGGTCCAAAAACCGGTGTTGTTTTTAACATTGTTGGACAAGTGATGGGGCTTTTTCCAGACTGCCAGTTTGTTTCTTCTGATAAATTGTCCGAAACTCAAAAGGCATGTATTCATAATAAATACGAACACTTGTTTTATTGCTCTATTCTTTTTCTTCACATATCAAAGCTTGTATTGTAGATATTTATATTTTCCATTGCTCCTTATGGATTGCCCAATGACGTCAATCCTTTTTCCTTTCAGGATGATGCTCGTAATTTGGTGATTTGTGCATTCAGACACTGGGAAGAAGTAGTCTCTTTTGAGGACGAGTCCTCTCTTATGGATTGGGTTATGCAAATTTCCACTGTTCAGTTCCCCTCAAACTCACCCATGGTGGGTAACTCTGATACCAGTGACGATGTTTTAGCTTCCCAGAAGGTTAGCAGAAGTGAATATCAGCCACTATGTGCGTCAACGCCTGATATCATGCCATCTTTCTGTTCAATTGCTGGTTTCAGCAGCTTGGATGACTATGTCTTGCATGGTATAGACAACATGGATGTTGCGTTTGACCAACCATTAAATTTCCCCGGGCAAGACACCAACTCCTTGATGGCTGATGCTGATTCTATAACTCCCCCATCATTTTGTGATGATGATCATCTGCCTTTCTTTGATACCGACTATTCCCTTCCCAGTTCAAGCTTTGCTCCATCACCGGATCTACAATGTACTGTCAACAGCTTTCTTGCTCATAGTAGTTCAATTGTTCCTCTGGATAAAGCTCAAAGGAGATGGAAGATGCTATTTAGTGTTCTCAGATGGTTCTCTGTAAGGAGAATCGTGAACAAAAGAAGCATCATATCTTGAAGAGTGATCTTCTCCTTATGCTGAGGTAAACGAATCTGTAGGAAATTGCTGCCCGATGCAAAATTGTGTGCAGTAGTAGAGTCGGTAGAATTTTCTTTAGATATATGTAAAATTCTCAGTTAGCACCAATCATGCTTTCCAGTTTTCATTTTTTAAAAATATTTTTTTAATCAAAATTTGAGTCTTGTGAATGGTATACAGTCCTTGGTGCCAATCTGATGAAAAGTTTGTACATATTAGGTCGATGTGTGTAGGTACAGCAGCAACCTTTGCTGCATTACTTATTATGTGCATATTTCCAATTTTATCTTGTGTTGAATTTCGAATGCTTACCATTATAACACACTAAGTAACTTAAGCTACGTTGAATAATTAGGTAGTTCTATCTCATTTGTTTTCATTAAGATTAAGACGTCTGAATTTGAATACGCATCTGAATATTAAGATGTACATTAGGATTAAAATGTTAGAATTTGAATGCATATCTGCATATTAAGATGTAGTTCTAGATCTGTACACTGAACCATTAAGATGGTTTGTTTACAATATTTGGATTGTTTTCTGAAACAATTTTTTCTCAAGAAACAATGATAACTTCTTCCAAAGAAGTTTTGACAACAAATGAATTGTGACAAGAAGAGTTCTTCATAAATATCAATGCACCCAAAAATATTGTATGTATTTAAAATATCAGATAAATACTTGCAAAAGATTATGAAAACTTACTTATTCAAAAGAAAAAAAAATGGTATTTGGTTGGAAAAGAGAGGAAAAAACTTGAAACTTGCCCAAAAGAAAAGCAAGGGAGAAGAGATTTTTTTTTATGAAAGAATGTTTATAATTTTAATAGAGTCTGAATGGTATTAAGACTCTTTTATAGATCTGATTCATTCAGACTCATTAAGAGGTTTTTTTAAAAAAAAGAAATAAATAGACTTAATGGGCTAAATGTGAATGATTTCAATTCAGACCTAAACAAATGAGGCCATATTTCATAATATTATTGTGAAGTAAATGAAAAACTTAGTCGTGTGAGAAACTGGAACTTCTTTGCGTGATTAGCGTGGATGTAGACCAAAACACTGTACAATTGACTTATGTAATCCAGCATTATAATTAATTAATCAACTAGTGTTTACTGCATGTGGTATGCTGTTTAACATATATTTCATCTGGTATACCTTGTTTCTTAAGTACAGTAGGTAGAATTGACGAGCAAGTCTTTTATAAGAATCAATGTAGAAGTGATGGCTGATCATCAAGCTGCCAGAAATCATATGTTTTCTGGACTTATTCGAGATCCAATACGGTAAGAATACCTTCTATTTTCTGGACTTATTTGCTTGAGTTGGAGCTTTGGACCATTTATTTATTTTCACTTGCAATATTTACTCGATGAATGATATAAAAAAAAGAAACAAGCTTGCAACTTATTCTATTAGAATATTCTATTAGAAAAGATGACGTACTTGTCTTTTTTCATTAAGCGAGTTATTCAGCAGAAACATACACAAAAAATATAGCAAACAATTTTTGTATCCATTGTTTGGGACTAAAAATATCTAAATAACAATCGTTATTAAAATATCTGAACAATAATCATTACACAAAAAAAATTAAAAATGCATATAACTGCCATGATAATCAAGCCGGAAGGCATTTTAATATTCCATTCATTATTTCCCAGAGATCATTGGACATTTCAACAATTCAATCTTTAAAAACTTTTTGAGAACGTTGATCAAATCCCCTTCAAATGATCAATTCCACTTCATTTCAATTGGCTGAAATCAAATCCGAAAACTGACGACATGGTAGTTATTAACAAGTAGGTAGGTTTTTTATTTATAGATGCTGGGTTTCTAAAAATAATTTTCGAATACTGAATTCTTTCTTTTTCTTTTTTCTTTTGAAAGAATGGTGGTTATAAGAAAGAAATTTGTTCAATATCAAATACTAATAAGTTTCCAAATAGGTTACTTTTCTAAAAATAAGCTATAACTGTCAACTAATATTAAGTTTCCAAATTTTCAATCTTTATACGGAAGAAAATGCAAAATTTGTATTTTCTTTTTCTTTTGGCGCCAACTTATTTCTATAATTTAAACATTTTTTCTAATAAGAGAAGAATAGTTAATTTGTTTTCCTTTTTCACATTTAAACTTTTTTTTTTTACTTTAACTATGCATCAGCTTCTTTTAAATTGAAGATTTTTATTTTAAAATATGCAGTTAAAAGCTAAATTTAAAAGAAAATAAAAATATATTTATTTATTATTTTTTAAATATATTTTATTCTCATAATTTGTTAAAACACATGTTAGTTAATCATAATTTTAATAATAATAATTTAATAAACAATTTAATAATTCTTGGAACAATTTGTAAGACAAGAATATGAATATATAAATTGTTGTACGTTATATAACACCACAAATGTCTATATTTTAGGTAAATTATTATTGATTATAGTTTTTAGAAACTTTTTGAATTGAGTCAATTGTTACATAAATTATCAAACGAAGTCAATTATTATATAAATTATCAAATTTGTTTTAGATTTAATGTCAATTAGAGTATCATTTTTATTTTTATAATATTTCTTATATAGTCTATATCATCAATATTGTAGTGATTTTACGCTTTAAAAGACATTCAAAATTAAAAGAATGTCTTTTAAAAATGAATTTTTTGATAAATCTTATTAGTTTTAAGTTTTTGTTTTTTTCCATTCATTGATTGGTATTTATGTTGGAGTCTAAATAAATCTAATTCACGTTGAAACCTTTGATTAAGAATGAAAAAGTTGAAAATTTATTATGGAGGTTTGCTTCCTTATATTTGTCAGTTGATTACAATCCCTGGATCATTCAAGATGAGAAATGAACATTCCAGAAATGATGTCTCAGCAAACTTTCTCCAGAAACTTGTAGACTTCTAAAGAACATGTCAGCTCCTTTTCTATATAAATCCTCACTCTGTTATCATCATCCACTGAAAAGAAAATACATCCAAGAAAAATTCCTCAAAAAAAAAAAAACAGTGTACTTGTACAACAAAAAAAATGGTGAAAACAAGAGTTAGCTTTATGAGGTTTCTTGTTTTAGCAATGGCTGTAGTCTTTCTTCCATCCCAAATTCAAGCATTAATGCCATACACACGCCCCTTTTGGGACATAGCATTTCCAACAGAGGATCCTTTCAGAATTCTTGAACAAACCCCATTGACTATCCCAAAAGGGGTCGAATCAATCGCCTTAACTCGATCAGATTGGAAGGAAACAGCAACAGAGCATGTAATTACACTTGACATTCCAGGGATGAAGAAGGAAGACATCAAGATTGAGGTGGAAGAAAACAAAGTGTTGAGAGTCAGTGGAGAAAGGAAAACAGAGGAAGAGATTGAAGGGGAGAAATGGCACAGAGCTGAAAGAACTTGTGGGAAATTCTGGAGACAGTTTAGACTACCTGGAAATGCTGATTTGGAACACATTAAAGCTAATCTGGAAAATGGTGTCTTGAAGATTACTGTACCAAAATTGGCTGAAGAGAAGAAGAAACAGAGTAAGGTGATTAGTATTGCAGAGGAAAGAAAAGCTGTTGGTGGTGAGGATATTACAGCTAATAAAGCTGAGATGTAAAATTTACACATCTCTAGTTTGGTTTGTTGATTGTCTTTTTTTTTTTTTTTTGTGTGTGTGTAATGAAGTTGTTGAATGTGTAACTAAGCTTATGATTTTTGCTTCTTAGTTCTATGAATCTCCATGTGATGGAAAATTATTTTGGAATAAAGAGTAGGAACTTTTTCTGTGTAATCTGCAAAACAAAGTCCCAATTTATTACAACAACATTAAGTAAATTAGCTGCGATCTTATTAAGGCTATGTATGATCATTTGTTAATATCTACTTACTTACCTTCTAACTATTGTATACCAATGAAATTTATTTGTCTTTACTTTTTAAAAATTCGTCCAATTACTAACAACAGTAATAAGGCAACTACACAAATTTATATTCATAGTAACATCCTGTATGCAGTAATTATAGTGAAAGCTCTAGACAGAAAGATGTCTAACTAAGACTAGAAAGGATATGGTAGCGTGGATAGAATTGTTCTTCTGATGTGGTCCAGTGAATGATATTGGAGAAGTTTTGGGTTTTGGATTTTGGGTTCGATTCAAAGGATGTGGTATAGTTGATGAGACAATTGGATATGAAAAAATCTTTTGTGGAGCATCCCTTTCTTTTTACCAAATATGGATCTAAGGAATTTGGAATAGTCTTCCTTATTGGTTAAAATACAAATTACCAATATTTGTTTGGCAGACATCCCATATGGGCCTCTCTTATAAGTCAGCTGGTGGAACAGAACCAACTATTAAGCCCAAAAGATCATCAATGATCATATCGGCATTATCTGTATAAATAACTTAGGTTTTAAGGGAAGTTTGTACATAAAGATTAGGGATAATTGTACAGAATGACAAACTTATAATCTAAAATAAATGGAGTAGCTATTGTTTGATTTAATTGCGCCCCGTAGCAAACGTTTGCCAATCACCTCTCTCCCTCTAAATTCTCGCTCGCCACTCTCCTTTTCTCGCTCGCTCCCTCTGTGCTCGCCTCTCTCGCTTTATACAACAGAATTGTATAAATTGTGTTTCTGATTGTATAAAGTGAGAGAACATTGTATATACACATGCAAATATATATATATTCGTCATATACACTTATAATTATACAATAAAAATATTTCCCTGCCCAGTTCTCTTTTGCCTTTCTCTCTTTCTCGTTTTATACAAACACAGATTATACAATATAATGTAAAATTTATGTTTGTATAATGTATAATTTATGTTTGTATTAGCGAAAGAAAATTATATATACACATGTAAATACATATATATTTGTCTTATACACTTATAATTATACAATACAAATATTCTCTTGTCCAGTTCTCTTTTGCTTTTCTCTCTTTCTCGTTTTATACAAACACAGATTATACAAATATAATGTATAATTTATGTTTGTATAAAGCGAAAGAGAGAGCGATTTTTGATATACAAATATTTTTGTCAACGATTTATACAAACGATAGGCTAACAACAATTTATACAAATGGCCTGCCAGCAAAATTATACAAATCTGAAGAGGAGCCAATGAATTACAATTGCTTCTTTTTGTATATATGTATAGCGAAATAAGCATAGTTTTCAATTGTATATGTATAGCGAATTATACATATTTATGTTTGCTATGGAACACAATTATGCAAACTTTGCTATAGCATACAAATACGATTTTTTTTGTTTGCTATATGTGAAAGTTGATCTAAATATTATTAAAAATTATTATAAATAGAGTAATAATAATTTGTTTAAAATTATAATTTTTTAAAATTTTACCTTTAATTTTTTTAATTGTAAAATATTTTCTCATTCTTTACTCTATACTTGAAAATTTATTATGGAGGTGGGTCCCATTTTATTTTTATTTTGTGTCTGTTCGAGCTTCACTTGTGTTATTGAAAATTGCTTACAATGTTCTCCCTATATTTGCCAATAATCTTTCATGCTACACTTGATGAGTCAGAATAGCTTGATTTCGCATATTTAGTATGGGAAATAATGTGCAATATTTAAATAATATGGGGGTTCATAAGTTATTATCTATAAAATGAAAAAAAAAAAATAACAACGATCTTTTTCCACCTAAAGGACAAGCGTCAAGGCCCAATATGAAGATAATTCCTTCTATTTCCTGGACCTTTCTTGGGCTTGCATTGGAGATTTGGATTGTAGGTATTAGGTTGGGTAACTTACATAAATATAGTGATGGGTTGGCATTGGCCCAACTTCCATTAGTCCTTCTTTCATTTTTATTGGGTAACTTACACAAATCTCACTATTTTAGGATCTAATTATTTAAATTCACAGTAATTTGTAATATTATATTTCTTACCATATTTTGGGTTCGAATACATGTATGTGTCTCTTTCAGATACACATATCTTGTATCAATTAGTGTGTTTAATTAAGAGATATAATTGAAAGTGATTAATTAAGGAGTGTGCCTAATTAAGAGATATGACTGAAAACAATTAATTAAATCGAAAATCATGTTTGCAACAACTTTAAAGGACATGACATATCAAAACTCCTACAAAAATCAAAACAATCAAAATTCTTCTATTTTTTGGGTGATTCAGCAAAGTTTAGACTTCTTAACTCAGATTCACGAAGTATTATTCAGATACACACGTATATTTTTTCAGATACATTTACAATTAATAAGATACACTAATAAAAAAACTAGATATGTATAATCATAAGTCAATAATTTGTCAAATACATGCATAAATTTTCAATATATGCATACATTGATTCAAATACATATACACCTAATTAGATACAATGAATGATTAAAAAAAAATAGATACATATAATCTTAACTGAATAATGTGTGAGATACATCAATAATTTCAATCCGATCCAAAAAGTCCCTTTCTTATTGTTGATACCTAATTTTGGCCTAACAATTTTCAAAATTCGTAACTTTTAAGTTTTATTTATTCAATAGTTCAAAAAAAAAATATTTTTTATAATTTTATATAAGTTTATCGATGTCTATCCTTATTTGTCAAAATTTCAGAATTTTTTATCAGTTATTTTTAATTACACTATTTTTTGTCACAGCCGGTTAATTACGTTCAATTATTTATTTATTTATTTTGATTAAATCGTTATTTCTGTTAATTGCAATTTTTACATGTCATTAGTTATGTTCATTACATTTTTAATATTCATTTTATTTATTACTTTTATTAATATCTATTTTGGTGTTTTTTTAATACAGTCTAGAAATACGGTTAATAATTATATACATAAATATTTTATTTAACCAACAATTTTAGATCATAATTTCAAGTCTACAATTTAAGCCCATTGCATAATTATTTTCCTATTTCAGTTTTGATTATGTCAAAAAATAAAGGGGTGCTGAATAAATTTTAGAATTGGAGTTCTATTTTACTTTATTTTTTTTTATAGTGTTCATCGCCTTTCCGGCAAACTTTCCGGCCAGTCACCACCAAACCCCACTGGTCATCCCTCTTTTCTCACTAATCACATCCATTCTCCTCACTGCCACCAGAGAACCACCGTCGGAAACCCCCATTTTTTGAGCTCCACCAGCTCACTGTCGGAGAACAACCAAACCACAACCCTCCACGCTGGAGCACCACCTCCAAATCGCCACCAAAAACCGACCCCAAAACCACCGGAAAGAACCACCAAACAGCCAACATAAACAACTCCTAAACCTAACCCATTTCCGACCAAAACCCCGACTCAAACCACCACCCAAACAACCTCCAAACCAGACCCATAACGCAACCACCAAAAACCCTTCGTTTTTCTACTTTTTCCGGTGAAAAAGTCACCTGAAACAACCACCAAGAAACCTCCAAACCGCCACCAGCTCCAACCCTTCTCCCTCGAATCGAGCTGGAGCTCGCTAGAAAACCACGAACGGAGGAACAACCATCGCCGCCACTCCGATGCAGCCACGAACCACCAAACGACCCCTCTTTATTTTCCATTTTTCAGACTATACAGCCACCATTGGCAAGCTCCAAATCGGAAGCAAAATAAAACAACAGCCGTTCCCATTCCCTTTTCCCCCTTTACGTTTTATTTTATTTTATAGGTGTTTTGGCTCCAACTTCGGTGAACAAAAACCATGAGCTCAGGCAAGCTCCGGCGAATCAGATCTGACCCACCACCACTCTCATAACGACATAATTCCGATAGCTTCCGGACCTCATAAAAATTTATACTCTGGTAACACCTATTTTAGCACTGTTGGTTCATATTTTTCACATAATTGTTATTGTTTTCATGTGGGTTGCTTGCTTCTAGTAGATTTATTTCTTTGTTTTTATCTTATTATTAATTATATATCCTTATATGTGTTTTATAGATTATGTTTTGTTTACATATCTTTATGGTTGTATGCTTTATTTTAAGTATTATTAGTTCTATGAAGCTAGCACCATTTGATTGTCTCTATTTTAAGAATAGAACTGTTGGGAATTATTTTCATTATCTTTATTTACATTATTAAGTTACAAATTCCAAGATCGGTACTTTTTATCCTCATTATTCCTTTGTCTTTTTGTTGTTGGTTTTTTTCACTGTTAGTTAATTTGGCTTAGATTTCATTATTTTGTTTAATTTTGGCTGCTGTTAGTACTTTTCATTGTTTGTGAATCATATTAATTATTAGCTTATAGTTTTATTTATTTATTTATTATGATATGAAGTGATATATACATAGTGTTTATATTATTTTATTAATTAATGTGTTAGTGTTGCATATTATTGGTCGTCTTTTGCTAAGGTTTCTAGATTCTAAGTTAGCCAATTGATGAAGTTACATGTGATTCTGTTAATACTTTATTGGTTGTTGATTTTTGTATGAAATGAAATTTTGGTAGAAGCAAGCTCTTGGGTCGTTAATTGTATTTTAAAATTGGCCAATGAAAAAATCTTTTCGTCGGTTTTTGAGGCCTCCTCATTTTAAAAGACGGAAACTTTAGTTTAAGTTTATATCCATTATTTCTTGAAATTGGCCCATGAAAAAATCTCTTCGTCGATTTTGGAGGTCTCCCCATTTTAAAAGACGGAAATTTTAGTTTAAGTTTATATTCATTATTTGTTAAAATTGGCCGATGAAGATATTATCGTCGATTTTCAAGGCATTCCATGTTAATAAGACGGATTTTTATTTTGAAGTTATTATTTAATTCATTTATTTTTATTCATATTT